TCCAACGGTGAGGTTCTTTTCGTCATCCGAGTTCTAGAAAAATTTGGGTTTCAACCCGTACCGCAGTGACAAATTACTATTTTGCCATTTTTTTATAAAAATTTAAATTTACCTGGGTTTTACAATAATAATTGTTTAAGTCTTCTTATTTATGTCGAGACTTAACCCATCTATAAACAATCAAATAACTCTACAAAGCATCCAACATTAGTGAAGCTATTCAACAATAAGTTAAATAAAATGTAAGTGAAGATTGAAGGTTGTCATGAAAACCTAGCTTGGGTACTTGCGGGGAAGTGTAAGAGTTACCTGTGTCAAGTCTTAACTTGTCTATAGGTGATCAACAATTATATAAAGTACTTTAGCTTTGTTAGATACATGCAATCATTCAAATATAAATGAAATGATAATACAACAAGCATAGATGAAGTTACACCAATATAACTTCCGAATAATACATTACATGTCCATCACCTCTTACTAAAGGGTGAATGAAAAACTTAGTGATTCTTACCCCTCTAAGTAGAGGAGCTTAGGGATACAATGATAAAATCACAAAGACAATACAATGCTTGTCTTCGAAAAAGAATGAATGAAATATTACCCACTCTTCATGGCCATAAAAGAGCTAGAAGGGTGAGTGAATTTCACTCCTCCAGTTGAAGGACAAAGCCTAAGCAAATGAAAGCAATACTAAAAGTAGAAGAAAACCAGTTGGTTTTGAGGGTTTATTCTTTTTCCAAAGTTGGTCATTGCTTCAATAGCATGAGGGGTATTTATAGGGAGGGGAACACAAAATTCAAATTTGAGAAGTCAAAGTTGGAAAGTGACTATCTAGCAATGGAGTTCGGACGGTATAGGGGCATTTGGACAGTGGCTGAAATGGCACCTATGCAAAAACAGCTTTGGCAACTCCTTGTCTGATCTTGGTCTAATTTTCTTTGACTTTGGAGGGGTATCCGAATTGTGCTTTGGCGTCCAGATGGTGGCNGACCCGCAGGTTAGCCGAAATCCTTTGATGGAGAGCGGGATATCCCTGGTAATGGGGAGGAAATGCTCTTGGAGGGAGGTATATCCCCGGTAATGGGGAGGTAGATCCCTCACAACTATATTCTAGAAGGTCTTCAACTTTGAATTCGTTGGCTTTTCCCTCCATACTTTTGCCTTTGAACTTTGGGAATTAAAACTTTGAACCTCTAAAACTCATGTTATTCTCTAATCCATCCTATATTATTACAAATTATATAATTCACATCAATTTTTAACACAAATCATAAATAATTAACCCATGCAATGCATTGAAAAGTGTAACCTTTTTGGTTTACTCACACCACAACTTGAATATTACTAGTCCCTAGTAATTCAAAAAAAAAAACTAAATTAATATTTATAAAATTATTTTCGCAGGTGATGAGATTGCATTTAGCATATGTAATAAGTTGTTGAACCCCTAGTGGACGAGTATTGTCTTATGAAAGTTTCCAGTGAAGATACCCATAAACTTCAATAAAAACCCAATCATAATTGAGATAATTTATTTTTGTTAAAAAAAATGGGATTATAACAAAGTCTATTTGTAAACACTTGAATGAATCCATATAAGCCCATTCATAAGCCTTCATGCTAATCAAGACTAGTCACTTGTCATATCATTTTTCATTTTTTCATTTCAATAGCCCTCATCCAGTTGATAGGTATATAAAAAATTCAGGTTAATCAAGGTTAGAAAAATATATAAAGCTATAACTAGCTCAATTATGATTTTGGCTAAGAAACAAATTTATCTTTTAGGCTCAAAATGGGTTTCTAAGGATAAAATTCTAGGAAGAATGGTTTAAATCTCAAAGAAAATTCAAAGATGGCCTATAATCATTTAATCAAAAATGCGCAAGTGCATTTCCCTCATTGGTTGTTCAAAGGACATAACAATCAACTAGTTTACTTGCCCGAATCAAAGAACTGAAAATGAGATTATTCAATGAACTTTAGTAGAATGAAACTTCTTACTAAAGTAAAAGTATGTTAACACTCCAAAGAAGAATGGTTCAAAAGCTTAACATTGCTGTCATTCCAACGAGATGCAAGGAATATGGGAGGGGGCTAAAACAAGAAAGAAGAGGAATGGTAGGGGGCTGGAACGAGATCATAAGAAATAGTGGATAAATAAAGTTTAGTAAAAGAATAGAAGAAAAAAACAGGAAAGTTAAATTTATTTCTAAAATAGATAAAATATAAAATAATAAAAATAAAGAGACTTTAATCTTTATTTTAAGTAAAAATTGGGGTTGAGTCCTCCTAAATGGACTTTTAATGATTTGAGTCTGTCAATGAAACTTATTTGGGAGAAAGTCCGTTTTTAATCTTATTAGTAAGGAGTTAAGTTCACTTTTATTTTAATCTAAAAAATACCCTTAAACAGTGTTAGTTTGGTCAGTTATAAAAAATTGAAAACATTATCTACAATGAACTATATATGGAGGCCAATGATTGAATATAGGAATGCTTGATTTATGATAGTAATTGTCGATTATAAGTTTTCCATAATACTTCAAATTTAAATTTTTAGTCAATATTTTATCTGTTATATATTTAAATAATCAATTTTGAGATTTGAGGCTAATTTGAAAGGGATGAAGGTTGAAGCTGCAGTACGAGCTCGAGATTTTGAAAAAGTAACATAGACAGTGCACACCAAGTACTTGATATTAGCATAGTAACATCAATTCAGTAACATTAATTTCAAAATGTAATTTACTAATATATATCACTATTTTTTTTCATGTTACTATTTTTTATTGAGCATATTATTATTTTTTCAATGTAACTTTTTTGGATGTTGAAGAATTAGAGGTTTTTTCCTCTAGTTATGAGTTTGAACGTTATTATTTTTATTTTCAATTTTGTTCAATGTTCCATATTACTATTTTTTTTGTTGAACATATTACTGTTTTTATTAAACATGTTACTACTTTTTGTTAAGCATGTTACTATTTTTTTTTGAATGTGTTATCATTTTTGTTAAATGTGTTACTATTGTTATTTTTTTTTAAATATTAATATTGAATGTTGCTATTTTTTTTATGTTTAAATGTTAATTTTTTGTGTTTAAATAATATTATTTTTTGTATTTAAATGATACTTTTTTTTTTTGTATTTGAATGTTATTATTTTTTATTTTTAATGTTAATATATATATATAAAATAAAACATATAACAACTTGAATTTTTATCCTCATACATATTTTTTCTTTTAAAAATATTATATCACTCATTTCTATCACATGTTTAATCATTTAATATTTGATTAATTTGTAGTTTAACATAAAATTTTTTTCAAACATTATCCATATACGATAATATACACATATTGAAAAAATTTAATATAGTGATATCGATTTTTTAGGCGCTAAAATTTTATATTTCATTGTATTTTTAGGCGCTAAAATTTTATATTTCATTGTATTTTTAAGCATCTGTTATGACTAGTATATATATTAGAGAGATAGAGTCCTAATCTATATATGAATGTAGATAGATGGGAAAGAAATTTTTTTTTCATGTTAATCAAACTTCTAAAATTTAAGGTGCTATTTGGTAACGTTTTTATTTCTTGTTTTTCGTTTTCGTTTTGTCATTTGGAGAAACACAAGAAAATAAAACTCGTTTGACAACTGTTATCGTTTTTTTCTTATTGTAATCGTTTTGAAAACTGGCTCCGTTTTTAAAAACGCTAAAAAGATGTTTTTGAAAACGGAAGAAAACGAAAACGTGCGATCACAATTAATGAGGTCTCGCCTTCAACTCCCGCTAGCAACACAATCTATCCCATTTGTGTCCAAATATAAAAAAGCAATTTTCAGCCTTTTTTTCTCATCTCACTTTGATCGACCCATGAGTTCTCTCTTCCACCGAAACCCTACAAAGTCCCTCCATATGAAGAAGAGAATAAATCAACCATCAAACCCAAGAAGGACACAAAGAATCTGACGTTGTCTGCTACAAAAGAGGTTCAATTTGTTTATCACAAACCTTTTATGTTGTTACCTGAAATTTTGATCTAGGGTTTTCTTTGTTCTTGATTTTTCTTGGATTATGTCAAAATCTTTGTTAGATCTTCAATGTTTTATTTGATTTAGCTATATGTTATTTGGATATTGGCATTTTTATTGTGTTTTGAACTCTCTATGATTTGAATCTGTGCATCAAAACCCCTATGTCTTTCTCTTTCTCTCTCCTCTTCTTCTCATACTCTACACGAAAACAACCCAAATGCACCACTTCAGTCGCTGATTACTTGCTGCATATACACCAATTCTCTCCTGAAACTGTCTCAAAAGTATCATGTGTTAACTTGTGTAAAAAAACCCAGAAAAGTATGATTCTATATTGTTTTTTCTCAAAGCAAGTGGGTTTTCGAAGACCCATCTCGAAAATGTTATAGTAAAAGTGCCCAATGTTCTCTCTTCTAATCTTGATCGTACCATCAAGCCCAAAATCCAGATTTTCCAAGACTTGGGCTTTTCTGCAACAGAAACTGCCAAGATAATTTCGACGGATCCTTGGATTTTGAGTGAGTTGGATTTTACCAAACGAATTTTTTATTTTTATTTTCATTTTTTTCACAACAAAAAATACAACCAGAAAAGTTTTTTGTTTTTATTTTTTACTAAAAGAAAACTAAAACTATTTTCGTTTTTAATTTTTTTGAAAATTAAAAACTGTAAACATTCCAAAAGAGCCATAAAAGTTTTGAATTTTTAGTTTTACTTCACTTTTAAAGAGAAGTGATAGTCTGATAAAATTGACAAAAAATGAATTTCATAATAAATAATTTTTCTTTGCGGAGTTAAGTCTAAATAAGTCCATATAAGAAAACCGCTTTCAAATTTCCCATATTTTAATTTTTGGATAAAAATACTCTTTATTTTCAAAAAAAAATAATAATACTATTTTAAAATGCAGCATTGTGCTCTAAAGGCACCATGATAATATTCAACTCTCCTCTCAATGTCTCCCTCTCAGATTAAAACCGTAACAACAATGGCGGATCCAATGGTCGCCGATCCCTCGAATGCCGACCTCTCTGATTTAGACGCCCTCCCAATCCCTCCTCTCGACCCCACCTTCTTCTCCTTCCCTGACCACGATCATGATAATACTCTTGACTTACTGTCGTTCACCGAAAACGACGTCGTTGATGACCTCGATTTCGACATCACCTTTGACGATCTCCACATCCCCTCCGACTTCGAAGACTTCTTGAATTCCTTTACGATCGATCCGCCAGGTTTTAACCCCGTCCTGGTTGAGTCGGAATTTGAATCCGGTTTGTTTAATCATCGTATTTATGAGCCGGAATTGTGTCAGATTCCTGGCAATAACTTCTCTACTGGTGCTACACGTTCTAATTCAAACTCGCCGGAATTGTATCAGATTACCGGTGATCAGAGCTATATTGCTGCTAGGGTTTCGAGTTTAAATTTGATGGAATCGCGTCAGACTTCCGGAGATCGGAGCTCCAGTGGTGCTAGGGTGTCAAATTTGACATCGGCTGAGTTTTGTAATGTACCCGGCGATCGGGTATCCATTGGTGCTGGGGTTTCAATTTCGGCATCTCCGGAATTGTGTCAGATGTCTGGCGATCACTGCTTAGATGTTTCTGGCTATTTAAAAGTGCCGTTGTCAGATTCTGTTGAATCCAACGGGGATTGTTCTCACGGTTCGGAAAACAAGGATTTGGAAACTTGCGAGCAGGAAGTTTTTGAACCGACTTCATCTCAGGGTTCGGGCAATTGCGTGTCTAATGCATCAGAAACTCTGAACTCTTCGTCTCACGGTTCGGGTAATTACACTCGGGGGGTAAATCATTCACCCAATTCCGCCAATAATTTGATAAATACAGTTGTTGATCAGGAACATAAGTTGAAAGAAATGGGTAGTAAAAAATGTTTATTAAAAAGAAAACAAGAAAATGAAGATTTATATACTGAGTCTATAACAAATAAGTGTCAGAGATCAAATAACGTAGAAAATCCTATAAACGAAGAGGAAGAAAAAAAGAAAGCAAGGTTAATAAGGAACCGAGATAGCGCGCAACTTTCTAGGCAAAGAAAGAAGCATTATGTTGAGGAATTGGAGGATAAAGTGGGGTCAATGCATTCCACAATTCAAGATTTGAATGCAAAGATTGCGTACATGATGACTGAAAATGTGAGTTTGAGGCAGCAATTCAGTGGTAATGCTATGTGCCCGCCGCCTCAAATGGCGTCACCCGGGGTGGGGATGTACCCGCATCCGCCAATGGCCCATATGGCCTATCCGTGGATGCCATCTCTGCCTTATTTCATGAAGCCACTAGGGTCTCAAGTGCCGTTGGTGCCAATTCCGAAGCTGAAGCCGCAACAACCTGTATCGGCACCACGGGCAAAGAAGTTTGAAAGCAAGAAAAGTGAGGGTAAAATTAAGAAGGTTGCAAGTGTTAGTTTTCTGGGTTTGTTGTTTTTTATACTGCTTTTTGGTGGACTGGTTCCAATGGTGAATGTAAAGTATGGAGCAATGAGGGAATCACATACTGGTGTATCGGATTATGTTGGCAATAGGATCTATGATCGGCAACATGGTAGGGTGTTAAGCATCAAGGGGCATTTAAATCAAACTGACCATAAGAATGGAATAGGTTTGACTAATGAGAAACTTGGCATACATTGTGGGAGAGGTCATGTCGGAGGAGCTGAGTCAAATGTTGAGCAGAAGCAAGGAGGATCAGACCCCTTGCCTGATTTGGATGAGTTTGTTCAAATGGCCAGTGCTAGTGAGCCTCTTCCTGCCTTTTTGTATGTTCCTAGGAATGATAAGCTTGTGAAGCTTGATGGCAACTTGATAATCCATTCTGTTATGGCTAGTGAGAAGGCCATGGCATCTCGTGAAGATGTGAGAGTGAAGAGTGGTAGTGAGACAGGCTTGGCAATCCCTGGAAATTTGGCTCTGGCTATCCCTATTTCAGGCGTGGGAAGGAATAATGGCATACAAACTCAGCTTTATATTAGTCCGACTGAACGGCAAATGGCTCTTGTTTCAGGTTCTGCAGATGACAATTGGAAGTCTACAGTGGCTGATGGCAAACTACAACAGTGGTTCCGCGAAGGCCTCACGGGTAATTACTGTTTAATATCATATTATACGTGGCTGAAATGTTCCATTATCTGTGCCTCGCAACTCTCAAGTCTTTCTGATATTAACTTATACCTAGATAACCACTCAAGCACATAAATTATTAAATTCCTTACAAAATCTCAATGTTGTTGTTTTTGTGTGTAATGTTTAATTCGCATATTAGGTTTCAAGCCTTAAACAGAAAAGGGTTTGTGCACGTAACTCCATTGCCACCTTTTTAATCAATCTAGGCTTCTATCCTTAGTCAAGTGTTGAAGCCATAACTCCCCACTCCCTCCCTCCCTCAAATGAAAGAAAAAATGCTAGAGAGAGAGCAAGGTTAGGTTTTAAGAAATTCAGTATGTAAAGGAAAAAATTACTTTTCTGTTGTAAATTGTAACACTTTCGTCTTAATGTGGGTTGGTGCAAGGCACTGACTCTACTATTTGTTCAAAAGTTCCCTAGTGTTCATTTCCTTCTTCTTTCTGTAATTGCAGAAGAATATTCACACAGTTTGACAGCTTTGAGTATTACGCCCTTTATTTCTAACTTTTTATTCTATAGGTGATTTTGTGCATTTATGAATATTCATAAGAATACTGAACATGCTCTCAGTTTGTTGTACAAAAATATAGTGTAAGATTCCACATTCAGAAGCGTAATTAACTAATTTTCAGTTTGGAACTTTGTCCAAGTGTGAAAAATCTTCCACACTATCACATACTTTTATTTTTTTGTAATTCACACTAACAAATACTTTACCCTTTAGAATCGATGTATGAGCTGTGATTGAGCTCAATGTTTGTGGTGTCTCAATTATTTAAATGTTTTTTTGGAGAAAGCCCAGTTAGAGCATGGCTTTGAGTTTTTCCTTCTTATAGATAGGATGATGTGAGAATGCTTTTTNTTGTAATTCACACTAACAAATACTTTACCCTTTAGAATCGATGTATGAGCTGTGATAGAGCTCAATGTTTGTGGTGTCTCAATTATCTAAATGTTTTTTTGGAGAAAGCCCAGTTAGAGCATGGCTTTGAGTTTTTCCTTCTTATAGATAGGATGATGTGAGAATGCTTTTTTTTTTGGGCCAATTAGGATTACAAAGGAATTTGAGGTGAATGATTATGACCATAAGGGCTAGTTTTGGTCAGCTCATGGTTGTAGGTGTTACAAAATTACATAATTGTTCTAATTCATCCTCAGTTTTAGCTGAGCCTGGTATAGTGTTATATTTCCTCTGTTCCTTTCTCTATTGTATTTGTATGTACATGGTGNGATTATGACCATAAGGGCTAGTTTTGGTCAGCTCATGGTTGTAGGTGTTACAAAATAACATAATTGTTCTAATTCATCCTCAGTTTTAGCTGAGCCTGGTATAGTGTTATATTTCCTCTGTTCCTTTCTCTATTTTATTTGTATGTACATGACGTACAATTAGCCTAATGGATTGGTCATGTGATGTTGCCATTTTCAAACCTTAAATTACTATAGAAGTAGGGTGTTGAATCACTGTTACTAGGATCTGGGTTGATTTGGTATGTGGTATGGGTAAGGGTACACAATACAACATTTCTTAGGTTCACATTGCGATTGGATAGGGTTAGCTGGTATAGTATTTTTGGTCGCAATTTGTTTTGGAATCCTTATCTAGATCATTTTCACCGTATATGAAATTGTATATAATAGTACATTCAGAAACATATAGTCAATTACTATTTATTTTACAATTGTGCTCAATTTCCTATTAGCGAAAGTTATATATAATTGTACATCCATACACACAGTTTATTAATATTTATTTAACTTCTGTGATATATATTCTAAAACAAATTGATTTGAAATTAGCGTTACAATTTGGGTTCGGACGTTGGATCTCGAACCACCCCATTCGGAATCACCGTACCCATATTGTGGGTCTTCAAGGGTTTAGCGATTTTGGATAATTATGTGTTGAACCCTGTATGCATATATATTCCTCAAGTAAGTCATGTGCTTTTTGTATGCATTAAACTTTGGCATCTTAATACTTGCTCATGTTATTCCAATTTTTAGGTAAAATGCTTCTGTAAAAAATACACTTGTTCAGGATTAAAGTACGTAGCTTTCTGATTTCAATTCTGTAAAAAATACACTTGTTCAGGATTAAAGTACTTTGCTTTCTGATTTCGAAGTTGTATTCAATTGCCAATGCTGCTGCCTGATGCAGTGGCAAAAATGTTGGGCTAAGAACCATGAGGTTTCATGTTCAAATATGAGGCAACCACTTTGTGCAAATATAGCCAAAGGTTTGGTTTTTATCTAGTCCACCGCTTCTGGTTCAATTAGCAGTGACCTAACTTGGTAATGCCCATTTATTTAGTTGCCAACAACAATGTAGCACAGTGGCAATAGTACTAGCATGGTTTCCAAGTAGATGGAATGGGGGTAATGGGTTCCCATTCACTTTGTTTGTCATTGAAAACAAGGGAGAAATATTAATTCAGAGGTTATATTTTACAGCCTTTACCCTGTTTATCAATTATATTTTGAGAGAATTATGCCCATGTTCTTGTAGCATATACTCATGTGGTCTTCTGAAGGTTAGAAACTAGGGAATTAAGTTGGGTTGGTGGTCAACGTTTTTAGTCTTGTGTTACTTTTTTTTTATGTGTATGCATCTTGTTTTTGTCAATTATTCTAAGTTGTACTAGTTGAATTAAAATATTTGTGTTTCTGCTATATTGTTTCTGCTCATGGTATACTCATTACAATTTGTTGTATTTTCAAATGTGTTATGCTGCGTTGGTTTCTTTGTGCAGGGCCAATGTTAAGTTCTGGTATCTGCACTGAAGTGTTTCAGTTTGAGGTGTCACCAGCTTCTGCTTCCGGAGGCATTGTTCCAGCTGCCTCATTGAGGAATGTTTCGGCGGAACACCGTGAGAATTCTACACACCTCAACAGGAGGAGGAATAGAAGGATCCTTCATGATCTTCCTATTCCTCTAGCTGGATCCTCTCATAACTTAACCGAGGAGCATATGCACAAGAATCCAGAGGCACAGAACTTTCATGGAAATAATTCTCGTTCTTCGGTGGTTGTCTCTGTGCTTGTTGATCCTAGGGAGGCCGGTGACAATTATGGTGATGGTGTGATGGGACCAAAGTCTCTCCCTCGGATATTTGTTGTGCTGCTTATAGACAGTGTCAAGTATGTCACTTATTCATGCATACTTCCTTTGAAAGGATCTGGTCCTCATCTGGTTGGATAAATGACAACTGGAACTTAAGCAACCAGTTTTTGTGCATAGCAGAAATTTCTATATTCCTCATAACTAAAGTTGTTAGCTTGTTTGGAAAAAGAGGATTTGACGCCCTCAATGGTTGTTGCATTATGATGATCTATACCCTGATGGATGATGGTTCTGTGTTGGGTTGATGGATTTGGCTTTAGGAGGGGAAAATGGGTTTTTGACAACAGGAAATAAGCTAGCAACTATGAAGAATCCGTGCCTCATGGAGTACCCCACAATGACCCTTCTCTGTCTAGGAATTGAACTTGGAACCTCGGCATCTTGAACTGAAGTCTTGGCCTTCTCAACCATGGTTCAAAATATGGGCCAACCTAGATATTGCTTGGTCAAATCGTACCTAACTCGGTACATTCCATTTTGATATAAGCTCCCTGTAAATAACAGTCGCAACTAAGTCTTTGAGTCGATCCCAAATTGTCCGAGTCATCTTCATCTAGTCGACCGATACCGTTTCAAGATGTTGAGATTTGAACTAAAACTCACATTGTTTTGTACTTATATTTTCATCTAGCATTTCGTACATAGTTATGTGATGTTGCGAACAATGCATATGATCCTCAATATATCATCCTGGACTTCATTTAGAGTTTTTAAAAAACACGTTACTTTGTTTTTACTTTCTAAACCTCCTCTTTTAGTTTTACAGTTTTATAAACAATTCTTTAATTTGTTATTACTGAAGCATACGAATCCTCAATCCTCATAAATGTCTGTATAACCGTGATGGACATACCCACAGTGCCTAATTTCCCTCTGTAATACTCCCTTGAATTTTAGGCATTCAAATCCTTTCTCGTGCCTTCAATATCTGGCAGTACATGTCCACTTTATTGATTATTGAATTATCTTAAACAAATGTCTCATTTTGGAATTTGTGGAATTATAAATAGTTGGCTGAGCGAATTTGAGTCACAGAAGCACTCTCTTTGTAAACTGTTGAGATTGCATACATTCGACCATTTTTGAACTTTGGCAGTGTGTCGTGCTCATTTTTTTTTTTTTTTTGAATTACAAATAACTTAACAACTCCTTTTGGCAATATGCACTCAAGTAGCTGAAGAGTCTCTGCGTTTGCAGCAACAATCTATCAATATGCAGTGTGCACTAATGCATAAAGAAAATAATTTTTTACCATAAACGGTGAGCTTTGGCAATTCACTGCTGAACGCTGATTCCTAGTAAAAAAAATTAGAAGGAAGATTATGGTATTGAAGGACGTATTATACAAGAAGGTATAGCTTTTTAAGGTTAAGTTATAATATTTTTGGGTGTAAGTCATAATTGTAAAAGATACGACCAATCACAAAATATTATGATTGATCATAGAAGTTACATAACATTTAAATGTGAAATTACTGATGATTACAATTATTAATGATCGATTACAACATTTTTATTATCCATCATGAATAAGCTCAATCAATTATAACTTCATATTTAAAATGTGTATATTGCTATACAAAATATAGATGTCCTTTATCTTCATGCGTTAAGTTAAACTCTCCATATCTGTAAGGGAAATGCTATTTGAATTTAAAATGTGTACTTGATAATTACAACTATTGAATAGGTAGTGAGTGAGTCCTAATAATTGTTGGGACCCACAGTGAAATCAATAATTGTGATTATGAAGTACACATTTTAAGTTCATGTAGTATTTTGAGGGGATGATATCCATAAGACCTTAAATTCGGAAAAGAAGCCTGGAATGCTTGGCAAGGCTGTAAAGTTTTATTCCCCCATCTGAAATAAAAACTAAAAAAAAATGTAAAATGAGGACTTAATCAATTACAAATGTTTAATTAAAGGACTGCATTTAATTAGGAACTTATACCTAATCCAGTAGCTGCAGTAAATTAAGTCTCTAATTAAGTCTGCAATTAGGTCATATGACATTGCTATAAAAACAAATAATAACCAAAAGTTTTTCTATGAATTTGACAAACATGTAGGCATAAATAAAAACTAGGTGATGCTACAAGCATGGCTCGCAAGTTGTTCGGCTGAGAAAAGAAAGGAGAAAGACATGAATAAAAATTATATATTTGTTATAAAACTAACAAATTATTGTCGGTGCAAACAATTAATTCAAAAATCAGATAGAGAATACTACATGTGTGTGTGTGTGTGTTTGAGAGAGAGACAGGGAGACAGAAATCTATTTTATTCAATGTATTTTGATTCAATACTTTGTGAGGCCTTTTTATAGGCAAATACAAGAACTGAATTGCACCGCCAATAGAGAGGTTGGGGGGACAATAGATTAAATAGAGTAATGATAGTGGACATCCACCCACATGTTAATGTGTTGTTTAAGATAGTATTGGATGCAAAAATACTACCTCATTAAAATATCTAAAAATAGTTGAGATTCTAAGCACTGCCTTGTTAAAAATATTCCTAAGTAAAACCCAGTGGGAAAAAATAAAGCGAAGGAAAAAAGAGTACATACCTCCCCCTGTGGAGAATATCCGATCAAAATGATGATTGTTTAGTTTGATAGATCTACGAGATGCCTCATTTTGATTTGGTTCATCAAATTTTGAAATATAGTCAGTGGGAATGTTTTAGTAAACAAATCTATTAAATTTTTGGTCAAACGAATTTGCTAAATATTAATATCACTATTATTCTCTACCTCATGGGTATACAATAACTTTGGTACGATGATATATCCTTCATTGAGCTGTGAGATATAGGTTGTATTATCCTCGTATAATATTTTTGGAGATTGAAGGTAGTTTACTTTGCTCTTGAATATGTTGAATCATGGATCTTAGCCAAATACATTATCGATTTGCTTCATGAATGACTAATATTTTGAAGTGATTGGAGGATGTAGCTTTTATTGTCTGCTTAACCAATTTTCATGATATAGTCATACCACCATAAGTAAATACATATATAGTTTGTGATTGAACCATATGTGGATCAGAAAGAAAACCAATATCTACATATCCAGCTAATTGCAGACTTTGATTATTTGCATAGAATAACCTCATGTCCACTATTTTACAAAGATACTGTATTATATGCTTGATTCTATTTCAATGCTTTCGAGTTGGTGTTGAGCTGTACTTTGCAAGTAAGTTAACTCACATGATATGTCAAGGCTTGTAAAATTTTCAAGATATATTAGTGAATCAATTGCACTAATATATGGTACTTCGAGACCAAGAAGATTTTTCACGTTCATTTTGAGGACGAAATAGATCCTTCTTTGTATTTAGTGATTGGACGACCATTGGTAAATTCAATGGATGAACTTTACCCATATAAAATTGTTTCCGGACCTTTTTTACGTATATTAATTTATGCATAAAAATTCCATTGAATAAATATTCAATCTGTATGCCAATGCAAAATTTTGTTAGCCTAAAATCTTTCATCTCAAACTCTCTTTTTAAATAGCTAGTGAGTTTTGTGAGCTCCTCTGAGTGTCTACTAGATTTAAATCATCAACATATGTAGCAATAATAGTAAATCCATTATTAGATCTTTTAATAAAAATACATGGACATATAAAATCATTGACATATCTTTCTTTCAAGATATATTCACTGAGGCGCGATTACACCACCTTGCCTTGATTGTTTTAATCTATACAATGATTGTTGAAGTTTAATTGTAAAATCCGAAAAAATTTAAAATTTTAATGTGAAAGGGTAAAATAGTAAATAGCCGTTACGGTATAGGTCGAAAGCTCAAATTTTTCTAGAACTTGGATGACGAAACGGACCTCACACTTGGATACATCTCACGGAATCTAGTTATCTAGTAAAATTTTGTCGAATTCTGAGACAGTCAAAATTTTACGTTTTACGCTGCAATCGAGTGCCGCATGACTAACATAAACGCAATTGAGATTTGATTGCGAAAACACAAAAAATAATTTAAAATTAGTTCGAATAAAATATATTGAACGTAACATGAGATGAGATTTAACTGATTCTGATTCAAATTGGACCAAACAAAGGAGGCAAATGTGGCGCATTGTGAGCAGAGTAATTTGGAAGTATAAAAGGGGAAGAAAATTAGATTTTCTTCCCCATTTTCAGCCAAATTTTTGGATAGAGAGAGATAGAGAAAGAAGAGAGAGAAAAACCAAGGATCTCAAAGCTTCTCCTTGCAATCTAGGGAAATCCGTTTGTTAGATTCCTTTGGGCTAAGAACAAAAAGTGTTCTACACATTGAGAGCTTTGAGTACATACCAAAGATTGCGGGTTTCACCAAAGTTTCAAGATCGGAATTCTTGGAATCAAGTCTTTGAAGCATGATTTAGGTGATTTGGGACTCCTCCTATGCCGCATTACCATTCAAGAGATAGTGTTCTTTTCTTAACTAGGTTTATTTTCAACCTAGGGTTGACCTATGAAATGGGTAAGGTGTTAGAGATATAATCTCATGTATGATACATACCTAGTGTAGTTGAAATGTGAAAAATGGGTATAAGAATGAGTTAAAATCAATTCTTGCATAAATTGAGTTTTGGTGAAATTGCTCATTTGGAATTTCAAGATGAATATGTTGTTTGGGCATGCTATGTGTTTACATGTATGCCTTGAAGGTGTTTAATAAAGTACCTATGTTGATTAAGTGTGTTAATTGCGTTGAATATGTTATAACATGCCTAGGATTGATGTTATGAAATGTTAGTATATGCTTTATGGTATATTGACATATGAGAAATTGGGAAATGTTGATAGACATTGAGATTTTTCATAATGTGCTCATAACATGCTGAACATGATGTTGTAATTGCAATTGAAAACTTAATTGCATAATGATATGAAATGAAATTGTTCATTACATTTGCATATACACGGGTAGCATCACATTCGTGGGCATTTGACATGAGTGTGGGTATGTGTGCATGGTTTTGATCAAACACCATTCTTGGTGGATGATACATGAGCTTGGGAAAGTTGGACCTAGGTTCATATGAGTTGCATGGGTTGCGTTGAAAACAAGGGTTAGTGTTAGTAAGAAGGGCTAGATTCTCTCTCGGGTGCAAGACCCAGAAGTTTTAGATAAGCACTTCTGTTGGTATTGAGTCCATAAAGTGTGTTGGCGTACTTGGAGCCGTTGGTGGAAGTCTATAAATACCCACCCCAAGCCAAGGATTTTTAAAATGGTCATTGGATATTCAACGTCAATGGCAGGGGCTTGGAATGCTCGGATGTATACGTATGACATTACATGTGTTATAGGCGGCGGTGGAGGGCTCGAGTTGCATTGCANTAGGGAAATCCGTTTGTTAGATTCCTTTGGGCTAAGAACAAAAAGTGTTCTACACGTTGAGAGCTTTGAGTACATACCAAAGATTGCGGGTTTCACCAAAGTTTCAAGATCGGAATTCTTGGAATCTAGTCTTTGAAGCATGATTTAGGTGATTTGGGACTCCTCCTATGCCGCATTACCATTCAAGAGATAGTGTTCTTTTCTTAACTAGGTTTATTTTCAACCTAGGGTTGACCTATGAAATGGGTAAGGTGTTAGAGATATAATCTCATGTATGATATATACCTAGTGTAGTTGAAATGTGAAAAATGGGTATAAGAATGAGTTAAAAT